TACTTATTTATTTTTAATTTAAAAAAATAGAAAAAGACTTATCATAAAAAGCCTGCACTTTGTGGATACTACTTTTCTCTCTTTTTTTTAATTAAATAATATAATAAAAAAGAACTTGTATATGAGGATACTTCATCACCTTTTAATATACTTTCTCCACCATTTTTTCTTTGGCTCCACAAGACATACAACACGGCAATCATCTCTTTTGTATAAAAAAAACCTTAACCTTATATACTCACCTCCCTTAGTATAAACAACCCTCGTGCCTTTGATCTCTCTTTTACTTAGCTTTAGGTCTTACTTTTTGCTTTGCATTTTTACTTAAGGTTTTCGTTCGATATTTTCTTCTTCCCTTGGATAAAATAAAGTTTGGTGGTGACATCATTATTTTGCGAGTCAAGCTAATCCTATAGCTTTGGTATCCGATTTTCACCGCGACAGAAATGATGACTTCACTGGAGAGAATTGTTCAGTGGGTTGAGCCTATCTAGTTTGTATTTATGTTTTTTTTGCTTATCTGTATACTTGTACATTTGTATATATATGTATTGTTTGGGTTTTTCTACGTGCAGGGTTGTCACCTTTGAGTGGTGAGATAAGTCCTAACTCGGACTTGAGTGCACTTATGATAGGATTGTGGTATAATCAATAGTTAACTGTTGGGAGTAGTCCTAACATGATTAATATATGATATAAGCATGCTCAGTGGAGATGTTTTCTTGTATATCTTATACCTATTTATGTTTCAAAGTTCATTCAATGTTCTTCTGAGTGTCTTTGATGATTGATATTGTTCTTTTCTAGAGTTTTGTTCAATGTTTTTCTAACAAAACCTCTGATGATTGTAACTCTTTCCCCAGTAAAGTTGCTTCTGCTTTCTAGGTGTTTGTGTGTTTTCCGCTGTAAAGTTCATTGCTTTCTTGGAAGTCTCTGTTATATTCTCATATTTGGTTTTATTCCACATCTAATGTTTTTCTAGATGTTTCTGATTTATTCCCAGAATGTGTTACTTTCAGCGACTGATGCTTTCCCAGATGTTTGTATTCTTGTTCAAGGTTTGTCCCTCTTTTTCTAAGTATTACTGGATACTTTTTGTCACCTTGGCAGATGTCCATAATATCTTGTATTCCTCAGTTATGTCTACTTGAGACTTTTCCCCGTGAAGTTGTCGGTCTTTCCCTAGTAGAGTTGCATCATCTTTCCAGTATATATTCATCCTTTGTGACATCTTTCTTCACAGGATCTTTGTCTTGCATTTCATATCATATCATACCATTTCACCTGCATCTGATCAAAATTCTAAGTATTTTGATATTTAATCCTCTTTCACCTTGAATGTCTCAATGTCTTTGTCATTCATACCTTCAGGTCCAAAAAGATTAAATAAGGGCATCGGTCATACCCAAAATTTTGACCAAATATTTTTAATATTTTTATTCATCTAACTGTATTTCACTTGGATCATCTGTATAGTCTATCATGTCTTTTATCTTGCATAATACTTAATTTATCAGTTGAAATAAATTTGTTGGAATTACAGTCGAATCGGTCAAACTAAAAGTCAATTGTGCATAAAATCAGTGGACGGGAAATTTTAAAATCGAGCCTGCACACGTCAGTGATATTAATCTATGTTTCGCGTAGTTTAATCAAGCGTGCTCGTTTGAATTTTTTGACCACTTTCGGTAGCATTTTAGATAGTTAAGTCATTTAACCGGGTAAAATTTATTTTGAAATTTGACGAAACGCTGTATTTTTCCGAATCTTATTATTTTTGCTGATCATTTTGGTGTATTCATTTTATTTTTTCGGGCACTTCGATACCGGATCAATTTCTCATTTTTTTATCGTTTTTATTTTGTGAGCCAAGCTAATTCCATATCTTTGGTATCTGATTTTTACCGCGACACAAGGATAGGGAGACTCAGAGGCTCTAGTAGGTATATTACATGAATGGGATAAGGGCTAGCTCACGGTGGTGAGTAGCCCTGTATGGTGATTTTTAAGGCTGTTAAGGGACCGGCTCACGTGAGTTGAGAGGCCTTATTGGCGACTGGGGCTGCTAGGTTGCAGGCGAGCGGTTGAATGACCAGTGTTATGACTCTTGGAAGTTAAGTGTTTTCTGAGCAATATTGGGTGGTATTGAATGAATATGACTTTTTTCCTCCTCCATTTGAGTGATGGGGTATTTATAGGGATTCCTCTAGGCTAAGGTTTATGGACACCTTTGGACGTGGTCTTGTCTACTTCCCTCATTTATAGGGAGGTCGTTGATCGACTATATCTCCAGAGTCAACAAGGTCTTTTCTTCAACATTATGTTGAATGAGACACGTTGGCGGCTCAACTGTACTGTGTATGGGCGGCTTACTTATTAAGTGATGGACGCCCTGATCTAGGACTTTGTCAAATAGGACACTACAAGTCTAATCTTTCATTTGATTGTTGTGGAGGTTCTTTGTGGATTTTCCAACCTATTGAAGAAAAGGATCAAAGCTTCAATTTGTGATTGAGTGAGGATCGCTAAATTATCAAGATTGAAGTCCATCAAATTCTGAAGACCAAGATCAAGTTGAAGATCAAAGGAATTTACAGTGGTAGCTAGTAACAGACAAGTTCAACCATGAAGCAAGATATAAGATATTCCCTCCGCTCCACAATAAGTGATCCATTTGGAATAAATGAGTGTCCCATAATGAATGACTCATTTCAATTTCCAATGCGTTTTTTTCTAATTTTACCCTCTAATTTTTTTCTAATTTTTCTCTCTCTTTTAATTATTCTTTTTCCTTAATATGTGTGAAATGGTCAATTGGAACACTCATTGTGGGACGGAGGGAGTAGCTTGAATTGGTAAGTTTATCTTTTGTTTCATTAAATTTTTGCAACCTAAATATAGATCAAAATATCATAATGGAAGAAACAAATTTCTAATGGTTTACCGTCGAAAACTAGATTAGGTGTGAGGACGATAACATTGAAGCAATATAAATCTCGATGTAATATCTTAGCTCTCACTCCTTTAGATCTCTTGCTTAATTGTTTTTCAAATAATCTCATCGTTGATTATTCTTTAAAGAGCATAATTTAAGATTGTATCAAATTGAATAATTGTAAAATGTATCAAATATCTTGTTTGAAGCATTAAGGATTATTTATCGTATTGTCTACACTTTATTCCAATTCTCGTGTGTATTACTACAATCTCCTTCCAATTTCTAAAATCTTTTAAAATTAAAATTTCACCAAATTCGCTTCCACGCGTTAATCTGATTTTTCTAAAATAAACAGAAAGGAATGTTTTGTTGTCTATTCAACCCCCTTCTAGACAATTACTTCATACTCAAACCAATAATTAATATCAAAAGTTGGTTCTTTTGATAAAGTTTAACAAGCCAAAAAAATTATTGAATATGTTGCTAATTGATTTGAAGGGAGCGTACAATAGAGCTCTAATTTTTACTGGTGAAAATTATGCATATTAAAAGGATTGCATGTGCGTACACTTTATGTCGGTGGATTTACAATTATGGGTAGACATCAAAGAAGAGCCTTTTGTTCCTCGAAAGATCGTTGAAGGCGTAATCATTAAGAAACCATCAAATGAGTGGAATAAATGTGAGATTAGAAAGACGTCTTATGATTTGAAAGAGAGAAATATACTTATCTATTCATTGAGCGTGAATGTGTATTTTTCAATACACAATGCAAGACAATTAAGACAATGTGAGTCGCTCTTCACATTCTCCATGAGGAAGTTGGAGATGTCAAACAATCGAAGATCAATACTTTGATAGAAGAATACAAACTCTTATGCACAGAGTCCAATGAAATCGTGGCCACCATGCAGATGTTTTTTTTTTTTTTTTTTTTTTTTGCATATAATCAACAAACTAGAGAATTTAGACAAAACAAAAAAAACATCTGACCAATACTTTTGCATGAAATTATTGAGGACCAATGTTTTTACTACAACCAGAAACACATTCAATCAAGCCTCCAAGGGGTGTGTTAAAATGTAACCTCTATTTTTCTTGGCCATATCATAACACATAAGTATTAGAATGATTATCCATATATAACGGGTTTGCACACATTGTATTAAGATATTGTAATGACACCAAAGTTGACAGTTCATATAGTGACTTGTCAAAACTTGGATCTATTATTTTAATGACTATACTCCAAAACAGAAAATCATTATCTCATATCTATATAATTCAATTATTAATTATGGTATAGTTAATTGATTAACAAGTCTTTTGTCTTTCAAAAGATTCACATCCATATATGTTTGAGTATTACACTCCAACTATTCCATCCATGATTGCATTTCAAACACAATAAGCATCCAATGACACAAAGTTGACAAGACCATGCAACTAACTAGGCCAGCCACCTTAATTAATCATGCTATACTAACCACAACAATAATCCATTTTCAACTTTCATTAAGTGTCTAAAATCTGTTAAACCATCTACTATCAGCTTATCTCAATCAAACTCTTCAAATCACACTTCAAATATATAGATTTAAATACAGCAAAACAATGAGAGCATGAACTTTTCCTACAATTATGATCAAAACAATCTTTGTTACTACTACACGAAATTGATGATCCTCACTGATAATCATATATATACAGCTGAAATACAAAGGAAAACAAACAAAACCAATAACAAACACGTAGGTCAAACACTCTATAATCTTCACTGCCTCCTTAACTGTCTCTACTTGTATCAACACTTCCAAAATCATAAACACTCTAATTTCCTGTCCTCAAATGTCAGTTATCACTCACTGAGTCATTCTGTCCATGTATATATATCTCAGCTTATTCAAGCAACATACTATTCACAAGGTTTAATAATGTTTACAGGAAAATCTTACCCTATTCCTGCAAAAGTAAAACCATAATCACCTTTTTGACCAAAGAACTGTAAATATTTAACAAATGAAAGATGGAAACACAACCTACCATTTAATGTTTTCTGAACTTAAACTTGGGGAGGGGACTCGGGTTCGGAGCTGCAACTATATGACATTGTATCTTCCTTAGGTATTGCCACAAAGTTGAGAGGCGCGGTAGACAATCTTCTCATTTCGCTGAAGTATCCGTTATGACGACCAGAGTAGGAACGCGGTGTATGTAGCTCAGATGTTGTACCGCTCATTGAGTTCCGACGAGGTGTAGGAGGCATAGAAACATTGCCATTTCCGTTGCCATAGCCGTTTCCATTTGCTCGATGCCCGTTTGTCTTTCTAAAGCTGTTAGTTTTTCTTGGACTAGGTTTAGATCCGTATATGGCTTCCTTTTGATTTTGAAGTAGATCTTGCATCTTCTTTTGGTCCTTTGAGATCCAAAACAAAAACTTCGTCATTTAATTTAGACCAATACATAAGAAAACAAATCACCAAGACCAATGGACAAACAACAATTTCTTTTCTTTTTTTTTTCCGATTTGTAGACGAAGTGGTAATAACCACAAAAAACTCAACCGTGAGATCCACGGTTTGAACCCTAGTGTCGCCAGTTGAGCTAGGATTTGCGGACACAACAAATTCTTATTTATTATTATAGAAAAATACGGACAAAAAGGTAAATTTACCCTCTGTCGTCTCTTCACTTCTTCTCTCTGTTGCCTGGTCAGTTTATAATCATCCAGTAATTCCACCAACCGTACCTGCAGATGATATAGACAATCAAAACAAACTTTCCAGATGAAAAACATCAAGTGAAGGCGATGAAAAACCAGAAATAACAACACACCACTTCAATGCTTACCCCATCATACAGAAAACAAGTCTTCTTTTCATCTTCCCATGCTAGAGTTTTGCTTATAAGATTGTCAACCATTCCTGGAAATGGAAACAGAACACACTCTCATCTTAGGTCTACATGGAAATGTCAACGACAAAAAGACACTGATGAAAGCAATACCTGGAATTTTGGTTACAGTTACTCTAGCTCGTTCAGCACGTTTCAGATTAATGTGAGCACCCCGCCCAGCACTGTACCGATTATCATCCTGAAATTCCACGTATTACTTTAGAGAACAAACTAAATAATCGATGTATGCTATGAAGGTAGACAATAGGGATTACTGACTTACCTGGCTATATTCGTCGAGCCAATTTTCCTCTTCACAAGCAAAAAGCCACTTATCAATCCTATCTGTTACATCTCTTCTGCTCAATGCTTCATCTTTAGCTTTCACTATCTGTGCTTCAATGTTAGCTAATAATTCACAAGGATCAACCAGGCCTGTATCAACAACAGCAAGGTTCAATAGTGTCAATTTTTCACATTGGTAACTTCTTCTGTGTAAAAAATCTGTAGGGAACAAACCAGAATCTATTAATGCACTAGCTTTCTCGGCAGCAGTACTTGTATCAGGTTCGATATGAGTCAATTTACATATTTCTTCTAACTCTGACCTCTTCTTAAAAACAAGTTCTTTCATTCTACTTGCTTTTAGTTTCGCAAGTTTTTCCACTTCTGCCGAAGCCTGCAAAAAGGACTTCTCATTTAATTCGGCAAATAAATGAAAGGAAAAAATGGTGAAAGATATGAAAGAAGCTTTTAAACCTTATCTATCACGTCTGTTGAAAGACCACCTCTTTCGGTGATTTCTGATGGCGAAGTTGCAACAATAGAAGTAATCCTTAGAAAAGTGTTCCTCTCTTCTTTTGATGTGTCCATCAAATTCCAAAGTTCGAATAGGTTAGCTACAATATCCTTCAACTGCATTTTCAAAAAGCACACTTTATGTCAGGGTAAAGCGAGGGGGAAGTTACAACAAATAAAGCGACTATTAAAATCACCTTCTGTATTCTGACTTTTCTTTCGGTTTTTAACTTGAGAATGGTCTTCTCTAAACCTTCCAATGTACTATCACTAATATTGGTCGATTGCTCCACCTGAGTCCCATGCAAGCTTGGATGCACATCTTCAACGGTTTGGCCGAAATCCAATCCAAGAACACCACAAAGAGAATGCACCTCATTAACACATTGCAAGACTTTCTGAAGTCGATCCGACTGGAAGAAGAAGGAAAAAGCATAGAAAGTGGACAAATGAGTTATAAAAGGAGAATTAAGGTTACAAAAGTGACAATTGAAAAGGAACGAAGGAAGAACTTTTATACCATAGTACAAACCTTTTCTTTTTGAAGACTACGGAGATGTGTTTGATATTCATTAAGTCTTCTAAGTGACAAGTCTTGTTCATCTTTACTACCTGTGCTGCTCACATCATCATTGACAGAATGGATTCCACAAATCTCGCCACTTATCTTCTCTATTTGAGTTTTAATATCTTCAAATTGTTTCAACCTTTCTTCTTTTTTCTTCTTCAATTCCTCAACCAATGGTGTGACAGATGCAAGTTTCTCCTTCAATGAAGCCGATCTTTTATCGGTCTTAATCTATAAATGCATAGACAAATAAATCAGAAAGTCAGCATGCAATTATTTCAGCACCTCAATTCTCAAGTATATTCACCAATCAAAATAGTGTATTCGCAAATATATTCACCAATCAAGTTTTGAACACAAGTAAGTCGTTTCAATTTTTTTACCGGAGAGTGAATATCATGTTCACCAAGTGCAGCCATTAGCGTTGCAATCTCAGCTTCCTTGGCTGCAACGGATTGATGAAAACGTGCTTTTGTGTTGGCAGCCTCGTCAACTTTTCTCCTATAAACATCTAAACACTCCCTCTCTAGCTCCATCAACATTCGATCTTTGTCCTTCTCGGTCTCTCCAATATCGTTCCATATTTGCTGCACACAAAAATGAGGTTTGTCAACCCAAGTTAAGAAAGAGCTTAAACAAGACTAAAATTATATGCAACCAATCAAGAGACTCATTCATCAAAGACCAAATCACCCTTAAATTCCATATTAACAACTGAATTAGAAACTTCCAAAACATGTTAACAAAACCATTCTAGTGAAATTTAAAATTTTACAGTAACCCAATTTCTGAAAATCAACCACTTGAAAACTTAAAAGTAAAAACAAAAAGCTTAAAAAATGACTTTTTTCAACTCATGAACAATCCATCTCATGAACAAACAAAGACAAAGCCTCTTTCCTTTTCCCCTATATTGAAATAACCTAGAGAGACCTAATAAGTACTTTTTCCTTTTACACAGTAAAACAGACACAAAAAAAGTTGACCAGAGAATAAACAAAACATCATTGGTTAGAGAATAACAAAGAAGAAGAAGAAGAAGAAGAAGAAGAAAAAGAGAGTTAGTATCATAACAAAATCATTAACAAAAAACACACTATTCATCATCAACAACAATAATACACACAAAAGTTGTGTAAACAAAATTGAATTCTGAAAAAAGTGAAAGAGAAAAACCTCAAGCTCTCTGAGCAAAGAAGTGCAAGTAGTGCTTATATGGAAGCTAGTAATAGGACTTCCAATGGCCAACATTCTTGACAAAATCTGAATCCCTTTTTCACTCTCTAAGCAACTAAATTTGAAAACTACACTCACTAGTAGTGATAACAAAATTTCAAAGAACCAAATTTCAATAGAAAAAATCAACCTTTTTAAGAGATAACCAAAACAAGAAAGCAAGAAACTTTCATGATAAATACCAAGAAACACAAGGTGTTTCCATTGCTTTCAGAAAAAACAAACTCTAACAGATCTAAAGGTGGAAACTTTGGTTAAAGGGACACACTCTTTCTCTTGAAGAAACTGTTTTGGTGACAAGAAAGCTGAAAAAAAGATCTGTAAAGAGAGGAAGAACTAAGAAGGTGCAGAGAGAGAGAGAAATGAGAAAAGGTTTTGTTTTTCAGAGAGAGAAAATGATTGCCATGATTATGAATTTGTTGAAGCTTGGGTGTAGTTAGAAAAGGAAAAAGAGAAAAAGAGAAAAAGAAAAGGTTAAGCAAAAGCAAAGAGATAATGGAATTTTAGGGTTTGGTTGGTGGTTGTAAAAGATGCTAAAATGCACCAAAATGTGGAGAAGAAAAATGGAGAAGCAGGTAAAGAGAATGGATTATGGATCTGTATTGTATTTTTCTATTTCTATAGTACTGTGTAGTGTGAGTGTGTGTATGTATGCTAGCTGTGAAAGTACATATTTGCCAATGATTTGTAGTAGTGGGTAAAGTAACATGGATTGTGTTATTTTACCACCTCTATTTAAATATAAATTTCTTACCAAATGTGGCTTTAAATTTATATATAACTTTAATTTTAAATATGTGTATTTAATATTTGGAAAATTGAAATGGTTAATTTTTTGTTTAAAATATTTTCTTTATTTTAAATGATTAAAGAGTGTCTTTAAAACCCTCGTTGGCAAGACTCTTAAAAATTAAAAGAAGTTTTAGTGTCATTTTAGTAGGCATCAAGTGAACGGAGTGTAATATCCTCATTAACAAATATTTTGATGTTAGAAGTTATCGAGTGTGTTAGTAGCAAGTAGTAATTAGGTATATTAATTATAAGATCATATTTATTCATACAACTTATTCTAAGATTATGGATTGTCATACACCTTATGCAGTTTGTTGATGCAATTGATTTCAAAATAAATAGTAGAATCTATCTAAATTGGATATGTTCTACGTTGTTTAAAATTGTGTGAACAGGTCTGCGCATTTACATATTTGACTAATAAGTATGTTGGTTTGCAAGATGACTTCCATTTACTTACAATCAGTGTGAATATTTATATATGTTCCGTATTGAAACCATGATTGTATTGATTGATGTATGATTCTTGAATCGGTGATGTTGATCTCTGATACGGTGACACGATTTGGACCTTCAAGATTAACACTCCAACATTCAAGTTAGATACAGAGTCCAAGACGAATATAATAAAAAATAGAAATCAGAAAAATGTATCTTGAATCTGACATGTGCATGTATGTTGAATCATCTCGATTGGGCTAATGTGTGATTGGACCTGCACATTAGGTCTTTGGGCAACCCAAAATAGTATGTTTGGGTCGATGAAAGAAAAAAAAAATAATTGACTAGTTGTTATACTCTCGATTCATATCAACTGGAATAAGGGATGGCAGAACTTAAACCAATACTTGTCTAGCATGGCCGGTTTAAGAATTCCGTTTAGAGATATAGCTAAAAACACGGTTAAGCTATCAAGCTTAGTGACATAAACAAACTAGCACCCTCGGGAAGAATCTTGGTCAAACCCGAAAGAAAACTACTTTAAAATAAGAAGAAAATCGAGGGGTTTCGTTTGTCCAATATTTATCAAGGAAAGTAAGATGTTATGGAAATAGGGAAACTTGTTAACTACAATTTTCTAGTTAGCTTAGCCTAGTAAATCCAACACATACGAGGATATACAGAGAATTCTTCTCACTTTCAGGAGAAATGCATGATTTGATAGCTCATTTGCATCCCTTCTCTTTCTTGGGCAATAAAAGCACATCCTAGAGACATGCACGCTTAGTTACATAAACATAGAAGCTCCCTAGGACAAGGAAAGTTATATACATATCCGATGAGTTTTGTTTGATAGAGTATTAAGAATAGCATGATTATTATATTACTTAGCAGGTTTATTCATTCTTCCACCTAGAGAGATTGGTGTGGGAAGGGTTTTTTTCCACTCTATGAACTATGAAAGTGCATCTCTTGAATGAATTAATAAATTGTTTCTCTATGTGAAGTGAGATCATTATAAGAAAGTCTTAGAAAACCAAAAGTTTTTGCTTAAATAGCGATTTATTTATATGGATTTAAATAAAAATCGAATCGTTTTAACTTGACTTAAAAATACGTGATTTATGAATGAACAAATAAGAATCAAAGGGCTATAGAGAGCTCTGAGACCACGATTAAAAGATTGTTAATGCTTGAACATTACAAAGACTTTAAATAGGAGTGAAGCTCAAATAATATTGATAATGATGACGAATTAGATAATGGAGTATGACAAAGCGATGAGATTAAGCATTTGTGTTATTTTGATATGTCAATGCAAGATCACATCAAAATTTTGAAACTTTGTATTGTCTTTAGAATATTATTTTAAAATTATATATATATATATATATATATATATATATATATATATATATATATATATATATATATATATATATATATATATATATATATATATATATAAAGATTATTTAGCGAAATTAAAAAAGTCTTTAGAATTAAGATACAATTGTATTTTATTGACTCTTTATCAATATGTTTATAAAATTATTTAGCAAAATTTATTATAATCTAGTTTTAATTTAATTAAAAATTAGTAAGTAAAAAAAAAATTAATAACTATGAAGAGAGCTTATATTGACTATTTAAATAGTTTGAATGAGTTTTAATTTTTAATTTTTAAAAATATTTTATAAATAAATTTAAATAAAAAAGAGTTTTGAAAAAAGTAAAAAAAAAAAAAAATCAGTAATTTAATTTGTAAAAGTTATTTTAAAATTGAACAATATTAAAAGTTATTTTTCTAATTTTCAAAACTAAAATTTAAAATAAAAAACCTTCTAAATCTGTTCTTATTTTTTTAGTTTTTAAAACTCTTAAATAAAAAAAAATTTAAAATAATTTGGTAAAACTAAATTACAAAATAAATTTAAAAGTTTAAAAAATTAAAAAGCAGTTTTATAATAACAAATCAAACGTATTTAATTCCCAAGGCTTTCTATTTTTCCTTGTGTCAAAAAGAGAATAATAAAATTCACACGAGATAGAATCATGATATTCGTTGTTTCATACTCGTGATGGGGCGCGTGGTCTCACTCGCGAATTTAATTCAAGGAAGTTTTATATTTTTAACTCAATATAGAAGCGCGTGTGATTTGTTTGGTGTTTGATTTTGCTATGACACTTGCAGCTGTTTCGATGTTGAAGTGTTTGTACAAAAGACAAAAAAAGAAAGTAACTAAAGATGTTACACGATGAGATTATTAAAGTTTACAAAGTTATCTTTGGTGATATCTTATTTTGAGAAGTCACTAGTTTTAACTTTCCAAAAATATTTTTTTTATTTAATTTTAGAAAATGTGTAATTATTGTTTAAGTTTGTTATCAAGTAGATGAAATAACCACTAAAGAATAATAATGGTTATGATAGAAAGAAAACGAATTGCAAATTAAGAATAATGTACTTTTGACAATAATAAGAATATTTTGTTTAGTATTTTTAATATTTTAAAAACACTAAATTTAATTTCAACAATTAGTATATGCATGGTTTATTGATGCGAAGATCCTCTCTTTTGTATTCTCTGATTTTTATTTTTATATTTTCAATAATATAATTTAAAAATTATAAATCCAGAGTAGTGAGAAATAAAATGAATTTAAAATTTTTTATTTATTATAAAATATTTTAATAATGGAAAGAAAAATAAAAAGGAGTCTTAATTTCTTACTTATCTCCACATCAGACCAACCGAAAACGGTTCTAGAGATCTTGTCTATATTAGTTTGATCTCGAGCCATACATGTTAATGAAGTGATTTCAAACAAGAGAAAAATATAAATTGTGATATTAGAATTTTCAAAATTAATTTATAAATATTTTAATTTTAAAAATGTTTATGTTAGGATAAAGAAGAAAACAGAGAATGAGGAGTGGATTAAAATAAATATCGGAAAATGAAAGAGATCATGAATCAATCATACAAGATAACTATAATGGTTCGGCATAAACCATTTGACATATTTTGCAGGGCAAATATAAACTACAATATTATCGTATTCACATAGTTTTTTTTTTTGTTTTAAAGATTGGTTCAACGATTCTTATGATTTTAAGCAACGGTTGTTTATAGATGTTTATAGTTGTTTGGCTGTGGAAAATGGAATGGCAAAAAATAAATTTAGATTTCGGTATTTATTATGAGAAAACTTTCTGCAGTAGATTTCATCATCGTTTATTCTCATGTATAACCACAAGTCAGTAATATGCTCTTCTAATATTAGCGTTGCTCTCATCTCTGAATCAACGACGTGATATCAGTTATATTATCTAATAGACGATCTCTCACTCTATTAAATAAAACAACATTAAGTTCCAATAATAAATTAAAGATATTTATATCGGTTATCACTATTTTACGAATATTAAACATAACTCTGTCTTTAGAAATTAACATCCAATAGATGAAGACTTGGATCTAGTAACAATTAACACCTCTTGTATGTCAAGTCGTACCATGAAAATATGTTTTAGGCAGCAATCTAAAACAAGCATTAAAAATAAAGAATCATTAATATTAAAGTAAGTAGAATTACATAAAATTATGTGACCATAATTAACACATGAGTATATAATGACTACATCTACCCCCGAACAAAGATATTTCTAGTTATGCTTACTTGACGTAGTTGTACAGGTAATCCTGAGAAGACAAACTTTGAATGTCATTTGCAACGATCTCTCGAGCAATGATTCAGCCTTTAATCTCCCTCTTTTA